ATAAAAATAATAGTAAATATTGTTTAGCCATTCCAATTTCTAAAGAACACTTTCTTTCTCCATCAAAAAATTTTAAACTATTTTGGCAAGAATATCTTTTTTTGAGTTAATTTATGGATTCTCCTCTCCTGTGAGAAGCTTCAAAATTTTTGATAGTTTAATAGTTGTATTTTGATATTAATATTAAGGATTAAAGTTACACAATATGCTTTTTTAATCACATGTTAAAAATTGAAAAATGAGTCTTTATAATATCAAAAAAAGCTTTTTAAAGAAAAATCCATTTCAACAATATCTTGTTTTAAAAAGATGCTATTTGTCATCACAACCAATAGCAAGAGCAATTACTTTTAATAAATATGGTAATCCAAAAGATGTACTTTGGTAAATTAAATTAATTAACTTTATTAATTGATGCCTTTATTGACTGATTGATAAATAATCAAATAATCATTCCATTTATTTAGTGTTCATAGCTATCGCTTACCACCTTTAACACAAACAACCATATACTTGAAATTTTTGGCATTTCCCATAAATCCATCAGATATCAATCAAATTGAAGGTGTTTACCCTGCAAAACCTACATTCAGGAAATTAGCAGTCATTGATAATAATAATGAAAACGAGAATGAATTTGCAATAGCAGGAAATGAAGGTGTTGCTGAAGTGATTGCTGTTGGCGATCAATTAAACAGTGAATTCAAAGTTGGTGATTGGGTTGTAATGGGAAAACCAGGATTTGGTAAATTTATTATTTATTTTTATTAATGAAAAAATTTTTTTTTTTTAAATTCATTGTATTGATATTTTATGAGGTACATGGTGTACGCATGCTATTGCAAATGGAGATGAGGTCACTCGTATTCCTAATGGTGTCATCGGATTGGTCCAAGCAGCAACATTAACGGTTAATCCATGTTCAGCTTATCGAATGTTAAAAGATTTTGTTGTTGATTTAAAAGAAAATGATTTTGTGATTCAAAATGGAGCTAATAGTGGTGTTGGTCAATCAATAATACAAATTGCAAATGCACGGGGAATAAAAACTATAAATATTGTTAGAAACAGGTTTTATTATTATTCTAATTATCAATTAATTGTATTAATTGACCAATATTATTGTTGTTGTGTGATTTAGGGTACTCTTTACTCACTTTCTTGATATTTTTTTGTGGATATGCATCTGTATGATATACATATAAAGACCAGATATAGATGAATTAAAATCACATCTTGGTTCACTTGGTGCTACTTATACAGCAACTGATGAAGAATTATCTCATTTTAAATTCAAGAATACTATTAAAGATTTATTATCAGAACATAAAACTTCAAATGGTATTAGACTAGGTTTGAATTGTGTTGGAGGAAAAGCAACAACTGATATGATAAAACATTTAAGGTGTATATATATTATTATTAATTAATTAATTAATTAATTATAAATTATAAATTACCAACTCATTCACTCATTTAATGATAGTGAATCAGGGCATGTTGTAACATACGGAGCAATGTCTCGTCAACCAATCACAATTCCTGCATCTTTATTAATCTTTAAAAACATCAAATTTCATGGATTTTGGATGGCAAAATGGAATGAATTGCATCCAAAAGAGGAGCGCCTCAAGATGCTTGAAGAAATTGTTTCATTGATGAAAGATGGCAAATTCACTGATATGAGGAATGAAGTGACAGTTTGGGGTGATGAAAATGATAATGATGAAACTTTGAAAAAGAAATTCTTTGCTGTTTATGACAAAGCTGGTGCAGCATTTAGTGGAAAGAAACAAATTATAAAATTAAAAAATACCAATTAATTCAATATTCTTTATCGCTTATTTAATAGAATAATTTTGTTATTATCTATAGATTGTATAGGTAAATTTTTTCCTATATAAAGCTCATTGATAACAAGAAAAGGATCATCATTATGCAATTAACAAGCAGCTTGATAATCTCTTCCCTTTCCAGATTCTTCAAATGTTTTCTTTGCCTCTTTTTCAAATCAGAATAGTAGTAGTAGTAATAGTTTCCCTGAGGCTCCGAAATTTGAGTCACCTAAATTTTGATGTTAATATAAATAAATTAATACAATGAAAATTCTTTGCTTCAGTAAATCTAATTATAATTAAAGCTGCGTTATAATGAATTTTGCATTCGCGATCTTGGATGCAATTTTCTTGTGCGTCCCACCCTATAAAAATTGCGTATTGGGTACGGGAATAGGCACTAGTACCGAATACATACTAATACTAATACTAATACTAATACGGAATATATATATACGGAAAAATGGTACAGAATAGATTTTTCCATTAATATTAAAATGCATTTTTACAGAAGCCACACGGAAAAATTATTCAGCGCTAGTTCCATAGAGAGAGGTACACTTTTCAGTATGTGTTTTGTGCCAAAAATGCAATTTTCTAATTCATCCTGTATCAAAAACTTGTATGCATTCATTTCGCATTTATTCTGTTCATAATTGTTTATAGGGGCATAGATTTGTTGAAAACTATTGAATGTGACTATGATTGAAAGTACTAAAAAAGGTGGGTATCATAATAGAATGAAAATGTAATCGTTACACTATATAATTCGCATTATTAATAGAATTTCCTGTTGTTATTATTATAGGCATGCTCATGCCTAATCTAATCAAATCAAAATTTCAATTTGAATATTCCACTATACCTTTCTTTGGTAATTTGGTTGGCTGCGTCTATGCACTATACCATTTTTGGTAGTTTGAATGTTCCAGTTGCCACCATTAATTCCAGCCACGATAAACAACCAATAAGAGAAATTTTAAAATAAAGACATTTCGCTTTGTTGTTTTTTTTTTTTTTTAATAAAAATAATCACCACTTTTAAACCTAATAAACCAACTAAATTCTCACTTTAAAAAAATAGGAAAAAGTGTGTATAAACTAATAAAATAGTAACAATATACCT